TGTAGGTAGCTGTACGACTGGACGTTCCTAGACACTGCTTTAAACAACTAAGTCGAGTTCACCGCCGAATAACATGTAACGTCAAAGAGAGAATGAGGTTAGGCAGATATATTTTCAGGCAGCTGATGACTCGACGTTCCTAGGCACTGCTTTCACATGACCGAGCCTAGTTACATAGTGGTACGTCAGAGAGAGAATGGGGTCAGACAGGTACACATCTGTAGGCAGCTGTACGACTCGACGTCCTCATGCCCTGCTTTTTGAATGACCGAACACAGCTTAGCCATACCCAACATCGTATCAAACGTCACACAGAGAAAAACAAGTTGGACAAGTAAAGTCAATTGTGTAGGCAGCAAGGTGCTCCATGCATCCAGTCCCAGCACCAACAACTCGCTTACATGTATATCTAATGCAATAAAAAACGCTTATGTAATATATTTTCCGGCCCAAGTTAACTCATAGATTTGCAGTCGGCACGCGCCCTGTGGTATCATAGTTGGTCTAGTTTCTGTCAGAAAGCCCCAGCTCAGCGACTTCTGACGTTGGTGGTGAGTAGTCAATCCTCTCTCCAGCTTTTCGTACGCGCTTTCGGAAATCGTGGCTGTCGTTTCGAATCTTTCCAAAGGCAAAGGTATTGTTGTCAAAAATGTCATTCATTTCCTCCAAAGATCGGCCCTGTGTCTCTTGAAAGAAGAAAAAGACGTGAACAAAGGCGCCAACGCAAAATGACCCGAAAATAATGTAAAATCGCCACTGTATATTGCGGAATGCCGTCGGAGTAAAAAAGGTCAGGCTGAAGTTGCATCCCCAGTTGAAGAGAGTGGCCAACGACACGGCCTTTGATCGAATGTAGAGCGGAATAATTTCCGAGGGGTATATCCAGCCCATAGGTCCCCAGGTCAAAGCATATGTGGCGGTGAAGATGTAACTGCAGGCGATAATAGCCTGGCTCGCGCGGCCAGCGTAGAGTGTCCAGGTAACAGTTGGCGTGCCTTCGAGTCCGCCGGGGACGGGGTGGCCGTTGGTAGCCATGACGGCGGCCATGGTGAAATGCAAGATGGCCATGAGGAGACTGCCAGTCATCATGACCTTGCGACGGGGAAATCTGTCAGAATATAGCAGCGTCGGCACTGTCATGACAACGTTGATGACGTATTGAATACTGGAAATGGTGAGGTTTGTGGTGCCCGAAAGTCCGGCCATCTGAAAAATGTAGACAATGTAGTACATCAAAGCGTTGACACCACTGTACTGCGACCAAATGTGGGTGAAGCAGGCGACATGGAGGCGGATAATGTTGCGGCGGTTGAACAACTCGCCCCAAGAGGTAGACTTGTAACTATTTTCTTGCCTGGAGGAAGTGTGAGTGGATTGGCATGTGATCAAGTATTGAATACTTACTCAACTCTGTCCTTGATATCTTGCAACTCAGAAAGAGTATTCGGGTCGCTTTTGTCACCCTTGGCGCGAACCATGGCCAACACTTCCAGTGCCTCATCCCAGCGACCCTTGGTAGCGAGCCATCGTGGAGATCTCGGCATCATGGGTAGACAACAGAGTAGGGTCAGGGCAGGAACAATCTGCAGGCCCCACGGGAGCCGAAAAGCGACAGTAGAGTCGATGCGGGAGGCTCCGTACGAGACATAATACATGATGAGGATCTAGATGGAGAGTTAGACGAACAGCAGAGCGGGCATGAGAAGGTAGATGTACATACGCCCCAAGTTATCATCCATTGTTGCATGGCGATGAGCCGACCTCGCATATTAGACGGGCTCATTTCCGCAATGTAAATGGGACTTTGGCAAGTTAGCACGGCGTGGGATAGCACAGTTGACAAAACTTCTTACCCTTGACTGGTGAGTAGGCCAACGCCGGAGCCATTGATGATTCGAGCGACGATGAGCATAGATTTGTCTTGAACAGCGCACATGACGATGGAACCTGCAATAAATATAACGCAGGCAATCATCATGGAGTCTCGACGACCTATGTGATCGCCAATATACGACGAGACGAGCGCACCAAGCAAGCATCCGCCAGCCAACGAAGCCATGATGCCACCTTGAGTGACCGACTCTGGGTTGTCGAAATAGTCCTTGTACTGTATTGGTCGGTTAGTGATGAGTTAGTAGGAGAAAATCGGTAGCAACTTGCCTGCCATGTTGCTAAAATGGCCGAGAGGGACGAGACGCCAAAGCCCTGCAGTAAGCCACCAAGGGTGCAGAGGCCGCAGATGGCGTAGAGGTTTGTGATCTTGGGAACCATGGTGCGCGGTTGCAAGGAAGAGACGGTTGATCTAGATGGGAGCGACCACAACATGATTAATAGTCGGGCGGCCAGTTTTGGACGAGACGCGACTAATAAAGATCATTGACGTTTGCTTTTGACTTTTGGATTTTCTGTTGCAGCTGCGACTTGCGGCCGCGGGTCGCTCCGCCCGCACCAAGATGAAAGCCGACGTGGAACGCAGAGGAGTTGGGGCTGGCTGCTGGTACTTTAGTCGTTGTAGCGGAGGTGAAAAGGCAGCGCGCAGCAAATAGCGGGATGCCGTGGTAGTGCGCGAGGGCGCAAGATGATGACGATGGTGGTGAATGTAGGAGATGTAGACGAGTGTATAGGTAGTGGCAGGGAGAGGTAGCGCGGCTTGCAAGACGGGCAAGATGGAATGATGGAGGTTGGCGATGGACGACAGGAACTTCGAGCAGATAAGTGGTAGTGAGTGGATGGTGACAAGAGGAGACCAAGAAGTACCTCGAGTAGTGTGGAATAAAGTAGTGAGGAGAGTGAGTAGTGACGAGGAGAGGGAAAAGAGTTTTGGTGGCGGCCGCTTTGGGGAAGGAGCGCCGTCCAGGGTGGTGCAGCTGGAGCCACCCACGTTGCGAGAGCCGGGCCGGCGCTGGAAACGGAGCGGGTTGATGGATGATGGATGATGCGGACAGAATAGAAGAAAGCAAAATACCGACAGTAATACCTCGAGGCAGGGTAAAAGGCAGGTACCGGGTTTTCAAGAGCCACAGCCAGTGGCAGCCACTAATTTGTACAGGCGTTCTTTTTCAGATCCAACAGGGGCTAAATACTGCACTGCCAGAGCCTGCCACTTGGCGAACTTTACTAACCACGGTCCAAGCCACAGTCAGCCTTCCCACGCACTGTGGCACGCTGTACTCGCCTGGCGCGAGGCATGGCGCAGGGAAGTGGTGATCAGTGATGTGGACGCTGAAGGAATCAATCGACGGCTTAGACGCTGTAGATCGACAAAATTGAGGACACCTCTTTTCCTTGTCAAAGGCCGTTCGATTTGTTCCATGCCCCCTTTCAATCATCATCCGCCGGCTCTCCAATACAATCGCCACCCATTCATTATTCGCACAGTGCCGGCGGCCGTACCAACGAAGACATTCCGGCAGCCGGCTAACACATGGCTCGGCAGTTCGCAGTTGGTAGCTGCCAGCTGGCAAACCAACCCTCTGTTTGCTACTAGGTATGCCGGTGTTTGCTGATGCTATTACACCTTCTCATCGCATCACCGCCTTCTACAAAACATATCGAAAAGCTTGTCTCATTTGCTCGTGCTACTTATTCTTGGCGCCCCTTCGGAACCTATCCGTGGCAGGCGAGCTGAGAATTCATCTGCACCGTGTTATCCCTGAAAGGAACGGATGTCGACGCTCGTTCCATGGATTTCGGAACTCGCCAACCAATCATGACGCGACGCCTCGTTTCGCTGACTGGCTGCATCACCACCAACACTTCAACATGGCACTAGGCTGCACTCGCCTGATCTGCGCTGACGGGCGGCCTTGCGTAGCCTTGGCCAACGAGTCCGTCTCCACGTCGTCTACAATGGCATCCTGTTCGCGACATACCCGTGCCTTCTATCGCCATCGCATTCACCGGCGACCTCGCTCATTGTCGCAATTGGCGCCCTGAATGATTGCGTACCTTGCGCCCGGCCCTTGTCCTCTAACGCTAGTGCCTACCATCGCCGTCAGTGGCTTGCGCGCAATTTTGCAGCCCAAGCCGAGAGCCGTAAGACAAGAATAGCTCGCTTGTTGATAACCATCGTCACTCGCTTCGTTTCGTCGCCATGTCACAGCAGTACTCTATAAGATGAGTCACGCTATTCAGCCTGTTGTTGACAATTCACACTATATAAAGCCAGCTCATCCAAGCACTCTTCAATCTCAGGCAATGCGACCTCAAAATGGCGATCAAACAAAAAGCTCTAGAATCCTGGGACGGCGGGGAACCATGGCGAAAATGTCTTGGCTGCACCATTCTTCCTTCAGCGTGAGCATCTTATCGATGTGAGCCGTCTGCAAATCCAACCTCAAGTTGCACTAGTTAGCTGCCTTGTTCCCTGCCTTGGCCAAGAGATCGCCGCCTCTTACGGATGCACCATCAGCACTACCCACGAAGCCTCCGCCATTGCAGGACCAAGCCCTGCCATTCAACAAAGCAGCCGACTCCTACTGGTTGGTATTCAAGTCGCTATCAACTGTCTATCGTCGTCCTCCATTCGCGCGGTGTCAGTACCTGTCGTAACACCACCCAACCGGTTCACGCTCGACCTCGGGAAGATTACGTGTTGAACCGACGATCATTCAGTAAGGCAACACGCACATGTTCCTTTTCTGGTATCGCTTTCGTGAATTCTGCCAAGTTCCATCTGAACCGGATCTGGCTCAGCCTCGCTGCCAACACAGTTTGGCGTTTACGAACTACCCCTGAGCTGTCATCAATAACTTGGTTGCCTCAATATTAGACTTTCGGGCCAAGAGATTAAGACTTAACAAAGGGTTGAAGGCATGCAAAAGCCACACGAGGATACTAGACAGTAAAACGTGTTCAACACCTCCTCTCATAACCAACCCCGATATCGACTATCACTATATCCTGCATATCTACGCCAAGCACAAGTCGCTGCAAAAAGATACCAGAATCGTCTAATCCGAAAATTTTCAGATCACCAAACAAAGTGTCACAAGCTCGGGACGTCGGCGACCTGAGGTCATCGACCACGTACTATTACCTAACAGCAATGTTAGCTGCCTGTATTCACTATACAGACAAGACTCGAGGCTAACAAAAGTTGACGATATTCAACGCTATCTATTTTATTGCATAGACCGTTCAAAGATTTTCTAGTTCGGACTTGATCGGCGGGACAAGATAAGCCCTTCCATGGTAGATGCAATCGGCATCTTTAGGAGCTTGGCACAAGCCGAGCGACTTTGCAAAAAGACCACCTCTAGATGCAGACTGTTCGAGAATGCCAATGTCAATATTGTGTATCTTGGGGCTCGCCTTTGCACATATCCGGCAAAGCCACGGTGGAAATATTGCTGTCACGCAATTATCGATTGGATAGGAATCTGCCACGGTGCACCGTGTCATGACAATTTGGCAGGTCTCTACAGCCTGGTCTAGCCATGACAACCGCAGATACGATTATTTATTTATTTGCACGGGCCCTTTGTCTCCTATAACGAGGACACCTATATCCCCTTCTTCCCCCGCATTTTCTCCGCACCGCTCCTCCGCATTGCTCCTCCGCACTCCATCTACATATGCAAGGTGCGAAGGCGGTTTCTGTTACGTACCCATTACCATCTCGTCACCAACGTTTTGCAGCGCTTAGCAGGGGTTTCTCTTCACCGACCTGACTAGTAACGCAACGGTATCATGTTGGAGGGATGACCGGCTCTACTAATCTACTGTCTCGTGAGCTGCAGAGTCTCTGTGTCAGTCCTACCCAATTAGGAAGGTCGCACAACCGCCATATCGGCCACTATCCTTTCACGTCAAGTTATTAACTAATCCTGTCAGCCTCGTGGAGGTTCCGGAACTGCACTCTACAATGCAGCTAATTGTTGTTCGTGTCGATGTCATCCTTATGCATGGCGGCATGGGTCCGCCGCCCAATGCCTCCTTCTTGGTAACGTAGACTATTTGGATGTCCCTCGAAAGCCCGCAATACCATCCAATATTTGACAGGGCTTAGCAGGGATATCCATGGACAAGGTCCAACAAGATGCCCTTCTGGGCAACTTGCCCAGCTCAGCGTGGAGCCGAGCAGCCCCATGCCATTGAAGGCATACTAGAACGCAATCGATCCCGCATGAAACTGAGGAGCTGCTCTTCCTAAAGCTCCGATAGGGGCCATGCTTAGATATCTGCATGGAGCGAGATGGATATAACAACCTAGATGCCTCCCAGTGTGGCAATCACTTCCATTCATAGGTGTTTCCCCTACTTCGGTATCATCTTCCAATACCACATCAGATCGCTATCGACACCCACTCGCCCGCAGGATGAGATTCCTCACTCTTGCAGCCGAGATGCTCCTGGTGGCCAGCACGGCCACCGGCGCCCGGCCCGGCGAACGTCCCCGCCTGGGTGCGCCGGCCATCCACGTCGACGCCCCATCACCGGCCGACGGTGTCCAGAAGCGCGCCGACAGCCCGATCCACTGGGCCTGGTTCGACCAGCTGCTCGACCACAGCAACCCCGCGCTGGGCACGTTCAAGCAGCTGTACTACTACAACTTCCAAGACTATGCCGGGCCCGGCTCGCCCATCATCATGAACTCGCCCGGCGAGAACGAGGCGACGGGCTGGAACGGCTACGTGACCAACAGCACGCTGGCCGGCAACTTTGCCAAGAGCGTCGGTGGCGCGACCATCCTCCTCGAGCACCGCTACTGGGGGTACAGCTCGCCGCACGCCAACCTCACGACGGACGCCCTGCAGCACCTCACCCTGGACCAGCACCTGCGCGACCTCGTCTACTTTGCCAACCACGTCGACCTGGCGTTTGACCCGACGGGCTCGAGCAGGCCGGCGCGCGCGCCGTGGGTGCTGACGGGCTGCTCATACAGCGGCGCCGTCGCGGCCTGGCTGCACAAGCTGTTCCCGGGCACGTACTGGGCGTACCATGCCTCGAGCGCTGTCGTCGAGTCCATCAGCGACTTTTGGCAGTACCAGGACATTGTGCACGACACCATGCCCAGGAACTGCAGCGCCGACTACACAAAGGTGATGGAGCACGTGGACAAGGTGCTCCTGAACGGCACCGACACGCAAAAGAGCAGGCTCAAGAAGAAGTTTGGCTTTGCGCCGCTCAACGACGTCGACTTTGCCATTGCGATGCAGGACGGCAGCTATCTGTCGCAGAACCTGGGCTTTAGCGACCAAAAGCGCAACGTCACGGATAAATTCCACCAATTTTGCGACTACATCGAGGTGGGTTTCCGATGAAGATGTCCCGCACTGTGCTCAGACTGATCAATGGTGGTTGCAGAATCAATGGCCCGGCAGCAAAGCCCCCAAGCCTGGTCCCGAGGGCGTTGGCCTTTGTGCTGCCATCAATGGACTCTCCAAGTGGTTCAAAGAGCTCGACATCCCCAACGGTAAGTGATGATTTTGTTCGTTGGCTTTTGGAGGGAAAAAAACCCCCCCATCTTTGCTGATTTGTCGTATGCAGGCTGCGCCAGCTGGGGCTACTCCCGATGGACTGACCCCATGGATCTCGGCTGCTGGGTGACGGACGACTTCACCAGCCCCGTCTACCGCGACACGCGCGTCAACAACCCCGTGAACCGCCAGTGGCAGTGGATGCTCTGCAACGAGCCGTACGTGTGCGCCCCTGTTCCTCCAGGACCCTGCTTTGAACTCAATGACTGACAAACAACCCCCAGCTTCGAGTGGTGGCGCACCGGCGGCACGCCGGCCGGCCGGCCGCGCATGGTCAGTAAGCTCATCACCGTCGACGTCTGGCGGCGCCAGTGCGACCTCTTGTTCCCCGCGGTCAACGGCGCGCAGGTGGGCATCCGCAGCGGCCGCACCTACGAGCAGATCAATGCGCCGACGGGCGGCTGGCACGCGGCCGCCGACATGGAGCGCGTCGTGTGGTGCGATGCGGAAAACGACCCGTGGCGGCCAGCGACGGTGTCATCGCCGTGGCGGCCCGGCGGCGCGCTGGCGTCGACGGACCGGGCGCCGGTGCATGTGGTGCCCGGCGGCGGGCACTGCGTCGACATGCTCAAGGCGAATGCCGACGTGAATGAGGATCTGAAAAAGGTGTGGGATGCCGAGATTGAGCAGGTGACGAAGTGGGTGGGCGAGTTTTACGCGGAGAAGCAGAAGCCGTGGCCGAAACACAACTAACTATGCGATGACCCTGGGACAAATGGGATGAGCGAGTTTCATAGAAGATGAGGGTTTAGAGGTACTTGGGTATATACACTAGCGCAATCTGTACATGGAAAACTCGAGAGATGTACAATACAGTTCCACTCGACCTCTCTCTCACGGGAGGTGGTGCTGCGATTCCGAGACGAGTCTTGCTCTTGCCTACACATCAGGCCGCAGCTTCACCACACACCAGGAATGACAGCCCACTTCTTGTTAATCTTTTCGGGGCCAAACTTGTCGACATACCACTTTTTCCCATTCACCGCGCGGGGCAGCATCGTCAGCAGCTCATTGACGAAGAACGCCCTGGCGGGCGCGCAGCTCCACCCGGCGGCCATCCAGAAGCCGAGCCACTCGATCCATTCCAGCAAGTAGTGGGGGTAGAGCATGTACTTGAAGAGGCCGGCCTGGGGGATCTCGTAGTGTTTTTCGACGGCCACGGCCGCCGACGAGGGGGACGACGACGACGACGCGCCGCCGCTGCGACGGAGATGCTCCCGACGACGCTGCTCCTTGCGGCGAATCTCGCGCAGCTCCTCGTCGTGGAACCAGTTGCCGGCGAGGCCGACGTAGAAGACGGCGAGGCCGAGCGCAAACTGCGGCAGTGGCGACTGCGCGGCCCACGCGGCGTCGGTCACGGCGCCGTAGGCAGACAGCCACCCGCCGAGGCAGATGGCGTTGCACAGCTGGAAGCCGACGGCCATGGCCCAGACGGCGACGTGGATGGGCGCCATGGACGGTTGCATGAGGGGGAAGAGGATGGCGCGGTTGAGGTAGTGAATGACCTTTGGTTGATGGTCCGTGTTAGAAGGGGGCATGGGGTAGAGGCCGGGGGGGGGGGCACGTACAAAGAGACCGCCGAGGACGCGGTTCTGCCACGGCAGGTCGTGGATGCCGTGCTGCTGCGGGAGGGTATTCATTATGTACACGAGGGTCAGGAACCCAGGCGCTTCCATGGTCATCCAGGCGATGCGGCCGGGGATGTTGAGCGGGCTCCGGACTGACGTCTTGCCCATGCCGTACCACTTGACGACCCATTGCAGCGAGCCAATCTTTTGTATGCCGCCGCCAAAACGTAGATTAATACCAAAAAAAACAATCAAGGACAGGCGACAGGAGCAACTCACGATGGGGTACAGAAACTGCCAGATAAAGACGAGCGTCTCGTAGTTTTCCCGCGTGGGCGGCAGCCAGCCCTGCACAATGGCCATGATGGGCGGGTTGTTTCTGTTTTGTTTGTTTACTTGAGCCGAGTTTTCTCTTTGGCAGCGCTGTGGTGACAGAGGAAAGTGTCGAGAGCCTCCAATTCGGACGAGAAAACAAAAGCAGTGGGAAAATCTCGCAATGTTGATGGATATTGGAACTACCGTGTGCTGCCGGAAGAGACGTCACGGAGATACATATGCAGGAGCAAGATCGGTTCCGAGTCAAGTCGTCGATGCTCAGGAGCTCTAGTGGGGGGGTGGCGCCGCCGATCGTAACCGCCCTCGATCCAAGTAGCTAGTTAGTTCAACACTTGCACTGTACATCCGTTATAGTGTCATGCTTTTATTAAACATGTTTTCCCGTATCAGGTCGCCTATTCTATGCTCACGCGAAAGTAATTAAGAAAAAAAAACAGGATTCCCCTCTAGACAAAAGTTGGACCGGCCCTCACAAAAGAAGCTGCATCATACAAGAAAAGAAAAGAAAAACTCCCAACACCCGTACTTTCCATATACCCAGTCCAAAAGTCAGTTCCAAACACAAGTCCTTTACATGAGGAGGCAGTCTCGGTCTCTATCCCTGTAGGAACCCTGGCTCACTCGCCCTCCCAGCACCGGTCTCAACGGACGTACTCCCGGATTCCCAGGTCCGTACATTCCGGGGGTAGGCTGCGGCCGCACCTCCTCTGTCCTCCGGCCTCCCCCGCTCATACCCGTCGGCGGCGTCGATACCGGCGCGCCCGCTTCTCCCTGCCCCGGCTCGTAGCGCCTATCGTGCTGCGCCGCCTCATACGACGGCGGAGCCTCCTCACCCGTTTCCACAGCCGGTCTACTCACCGGCGGCCGTCCCGCAGGTCGCAGCCCCGTCGTGGCGGTCGTGGCTGCTGCGCGGGGTGGGACCAGCGGGCGAACATTTTGCGTCTGCGGCCGGGGAGGCTGCGGCGGCGGGGGCGACGACGACGCCGTGTGTATGCTGCTGCTGCGTCGGCCGCCGCCGGGGCTGGACACGCTCACGTTGACGTTGCTCGAGGAGCGTCGGAATTCGCTGTTGCCGGTGCTCGGGCGCAGCCGGGCGGCACCCATGTTATCGCGCGCCACGGGTTGCGGCCGCTGCCGGCCCTGCTGCTCGATGAATTGCTCCGAGAGGCGGCTCTCCCGCCGGCGGCGCTCCAGCTCCTCACGCTGGTTGTGCTCCTCCTCCTCCTGCAGCTGCAGCGCGAGCGCGAGGTCGCGGTCTTCTTGCTCGTGGGCGTCGCCGCTGCCGCCGGGGGACGACACGGGCTCTTCCTGGCGGTTCTTGCCGCTGCGGCGGGTCTGCACGGGCGACCACGCGTGGCTGTTGCTGCTGCTGGGCCCGGCCAGGTTTGGCGACCCGGCGGGGTAGAACTCGCCTGAGTACATGGCCGACAGCTCGCCGTGGACATCCTCGAGACTCTCCCAGACGACGTCATCGTGGCTGCAGTAGCCCGCGTCCGTCACGAGCGTCAGCAGCTGCATCGTGTGCGGGTGGCAGTACAGCGTGCTAAAGTGGTCGTTGCGGAAGAGAATGGCAAACGTGCCGGGCCGCATCGCCCTGCCAATCACTTCGATGCCCCACGGCGTGAGCTGAGTCGCCGATTCTTCCATGAACATTTTAATCGTCACGATGTCTTGGTAGAGCTGCTGCTCCGCCTCCGTGAGGCCGACCCCGCTCGAGTCCGACAGCTTGGCCTCGAGCTCCTCCTCGCGGAAGAGCAGGTTCTGCGCGTCTTCGTACGAGGGCGCCTGCCGTTCAAAGGCCTCGTACGCGGGGTCCGTCTTGGCTGGCAGCCAGCCGTGGATGAGCGGGATCGAAAAGGTCGCATAGAGCCGCATCTCGAGGCTGTTTTCAAAGGTGCCCGGCATCAGGCCGTCGCGGTCGGTGGGGTCCAGATGGGTCAGCGAGCTGTGCTTGTAGGCCGTCATCATTTCCTCGGTCGGGACGAAGCGCGGGTTGACATTCATGCCCGTGTGCAGGCTCTGCAAGAACTCGTAGAGCTCGCTGATGTCGGGGAGAGCATCGTCGGACGACGTGCGCCCGGGGGACATGAGCTCGTCAAAGACGGCGTCCAGCAGCAGATTCAGGCTGACGCGCTCGCGGGAGCGGAGCACTTGCACGAGAGTCGTCTCGGGGGTGTCCGCTGGCGTGGTAAGACTCAGGGCATTCACCAAGGCGACGAGAGGGCAGGGCCCGTTTTCGTTTTGCACCAGGATGGGGGAGACGCGGCTTTTGGACGAGCTGGGGTCGACCCAGCTGATATTCTTGATTTGGTACGTCTCAGCCTGGCCGTCCACAGGCCGCCGAGTGGTGGCCCATCTCTGCGATGGCTCGGGCTGTCGCGGTGGTAGCGCAGGTCGCTCGTTTTTCTCGGACACCAGCAGGCCTGTTATTTGCGGCGCATGTTGTGATTGCGAGGATTGTATTGGTGGCTCGTAGCCAATAGGTTCGATAAGAGGAACGTCGATTTGCGGCAGGTATTGTGGTTGCGAGGGTTGCGTTGGTGGTTCGTAGCCAATAGGTTCGATAAGAGGGGGATGTAGTTGAGGTTCGTTCTTTTGTTCGTTTAGTGTTGGAATTGGGGGACTTTCTGGGGCCTCGTCCTTGCTTTCCACCGCTGTTGTCGTCGTAGCTTCATTCATGCGTTGCCCATGTTCTGATGTTAGCTCGTCCCACGGCGTTGCAGGGGCCTCGAAAACATGTGCTGCAGAGCCCTTCTCCGCTCCCGTACTTGGGGCGCTCGATTTCGGAACAGCCGGGGTATTCAGGGTAGCGTCCCCGGCAATCGACGACGCTTCGGAGTCAATCATGTTCCACTCATCCTGGTCCGAGTCCCCGCCTGCTGTCTTGTTGGTCGCGCTTCTCTTGATCTTGGGAGTGCGGCCGAGGTCGTCCCACGCCTGCTGGTCGCCAAAGATGTGGGAGAAGTCGTCGGCCGGCTTCACCAAGGTGCCCTGCGAGTCAGCCTGGTTCTTTGTCACATTCTGCGACTCGCCGCCCCAGACAGACTGCTCCTCCGGCGTCGGCACGCTCAGCGGCTGCAGCGGGTGGGTGTACGATGTCGCGTCCAGCTCCACGGCGTTGTGCTTGCCCCAGGGATCCTGCTGGAACTCGGGCGGCAGCACGGGCGGCGACATATGCGGGACGCGCGCGTCGTCCGAGACCGATGTCATGCCGGTGGGCTGCGCGTATAGCGCGGGGCCCCAGGGGTTGTTGGTGGCCGAGTCCAGGTGCATCTTGGACAGGGCCTCGGTCGGCGGCGCCTGGGATGCGGCACCTTCTCTATTGCGGAACGGATTTGAGCTGGTCGACTTGCCGCCGCCTGGGCGCAGTATGCTCGGTATTCGGTTTATAGACTGGGTCGGTTTCTTGTCGCCCTCGGCTGTTGTTGTGGTGCTGGTGGTGGCCTCGTGCAGCGGCTGCAAGACTGACGCGGGTGATGGCGGGGTTGGCAGGCTGGCGGGAGCAGCCGTAGGACTGTCGCCCGAGGTCTGGAACGACACCATTTTCAGTGCAGCACCAATTGTGCCGCTTCACGCTGTTTTCGTATGCTGTAGTCAAGTATCCGTAGGCAGTCTGGTTTAGGCAAGTCGGATCGTGGGAGGTTGGGACCCTGGTGCCTTGTGATGACGACAAAGGTGGACTAGTTAGAGGCGCTTAGCTGTTGTTGGGGGTTCAATCGATGTACGAGGCTCGCAAGTTATTAGGTGTCAAGGTCAAGATTTTCTGATGAGATGCCAGAGTCGTTCCAGTCTGTAGGCTTGGGGCACAGCCGCATAGGTATCCAATGCCCGGGATGTCGGATGTTGTCTAGTTTGCTTTCTCGGCAAAGTTGGCCAGGCGCGAAACCACAAGGCTGGCTGCGGACGCTGAGGTTTCGTGGCGCAGGTTGATGGTGGGTCTGGAGGGACTCACCCCAGATTTATATCGTGCTGTTTTAATATGGGTAGCATGCCAGACAATAACTAATTGAAAAGTCTGTTTTTTACTTTACATCTTCCTTTCAACTACCAATTGACTTTAGCTGACGGAAAGTATATCATGGCCAGGCTTGTCCTCTAAGCGTAGACAGGTAGAGTTTACTAACTCGGTGGTGGGGATGGCTGATGTGCACCAACGCAGGCACATACGTAACACGCTACGTACCCGAGTAAATTTAAAATGCGAATGCGACGAGATGCCACTGGCTGCGGGGTATTACTTACTTCATTGTATTGCCGCTGATAGGGCTGTGCAGGGGCTTCATCTAGTTCGATGCATTTCTTGGCAAGGCTAAACCAAGAGAATGGTCGACTTCATAAGACCGCCTCTTCTGAAAGTTTGCACCATGACATTGCGTAACTAGGGATATATCTACATGCTATATTCATGAATGTATTATATGCTTCTTCGACATCAACCATGCAGCAGCAACTCTACCCGGTCTCGACACCAAATACTATGCACAACACACGTTGTTTTTTCGCGAGTACACACACACCTAAACGCCGTAGAAACAAGACGCCACAAAAAGTTCCCCATCCAACCTTGATATACTTTCAAATTTGAAGCCCCCTCTTGTTCATGAGACGGGACGCACGTCGGCCCTCTATTTCCCCTTCTTGCTCTTCTCCACCAGCCCCGTCCACCGTCTGCAGTGCGGCATCTCGAGCGCGTCCGCCAGCGCCATCTTGACCTCGTCCTGGTAGAACCACCCCGTCGCGTCCTCGCGCATCCGCCGCTGCGTCGCCTGCTCCCGCTCGCACCCGCTCCGGATCTGCTGCAGCGCGCTCTGCTCCGCCACCCGGTCCAGGTCGCCCAGCTGGCCCTTGGTGTACTGCCGCACGTCCCGCTCCCGCACAAAGTACTTGATCCCGTGCACCGGCGTCGTCCGCTCGTGCGTGTACGGCGCGCTGGGGTTGTCAAACGCCATGTTGGGCGTCGCCGGCCCGCCGTCCCCGCCAAAGAGGGACGTGAGCAGCGGGAAGATGAAGAACAGTAGGATCGGCAGAATGCCAATCAGGTTCTGCAGGCCGCCGCCGCCGCCTTGCGTCTCCTCCGGTCGGTTCTGGGTGTCGCGTGGCCGTCCGCGGGGCCTCGCACCGCCGAATTGGTGCACGCGGATGCCCGGGCCGCCGCCAAAGTTAAAGACAAACTGAGGGCCTGTATCAAAGACTGTAGATGGTGCATCGTTAGCCAGCGTTCACATGTATAGACAAGAATTGGTTCCGCCATACCTCCGCCGCCACCAAAGCCGCCGCCGCCAAAGCCGCCGCCGAAAAACCGCGCAAACATCTCCTCGGGGCTGATATCCTCATCCCAGCCGCCGCCACCACCACCACCGCCCATGGGACCGCCCTGCCGCGCGCCCATGCCGCCTGATGGCTGCCGCGATGCAAACCCGGAGAAGGGGCTCTGCGCCTGTGCCTGCGCGAAGCGGCTGTCCGGGTCGGTGCCGAAGCGGTCATACTTTTCCCTCTTCTCCTTGTCGCCGAGCACGCCAAACGCACGGCTGACCATCTTGAAGGCCTCGTCGGCGTTTTCGTGGCCGTTCTTGTCCGGGTGCGTCAGCAGCGACTGCTTGCGGTATGCCTTTTTGATCTCCCCCTCAGTGCATGTCCGCCGCACCGACTCGAGGTCCAAGATCTCGTAAAACGCTGTCGCGTCGCAGCGCCGGATTCGCAGCACCGCCGCCTTTTGCTCGACCGTGTAGGACCGGCCCTGGTTGCCCTGGTTGTGGTCGCGCGCCCGCGCCGTGCCGCCGCCCGTGTCGGCCCCGGAGGCCTTTGCGTCTGGCATGTCGCAGAGAACGCCGTGTGTGTAGGTGTGTGTTTTTAGGTGTGACTGGGAGAGCTCTGTGTCTGTATCTTTGGGTGTCGGGTCCAAGTGCGTGTCCCTGGGCAAGCGACGGGGAGATGGGGACAAGGCGATGAAAAATGATCAACGCCGCCGCCGTCGAGATTCTCTTCGCTGGTGATGGGTACGGATATCCTCGATGAGGCGAGTTGGCCGTCTATGGAAAGCAAATGGATCAGATGCCAGCCCGGCTTTGATTTTGTTGGTTGATGTGGCTTCTTCCAGCGGACTTTGGGGGAACGGGGGACTGCGCGGTGGAGCTGCCGCAAAGGGTTCAGCGGCCGGCGTGGCAACAGGGGCGTGTATGAAGACGCTATCAATTACCCCAACGGAGACGGCAAGCATGGTTTATGGTGTGGAAATGCTCAGATTATCCTCCCACAATTATATCCAGGACTTTGTTTATTTGTCTATTGTATGGCCAGTTATACGGACAAATTCCCCCAGCGTGTTGCTCAACGCAAAGCGTTGTTCTACACGACGTGGTTACCCGTTGCCCCACGTGATGACATCGTTGCGCTGGTACCCTATAACCGACTTAGAGTTTAGCTTTAGGGGTCTACACATTTCTGCACCACGGTGAAAGTTCGTGGAATAGGAGGTCCTTTTTATCGCTGGTTCTAGTTATAAGTTTTTGTTCGTTTTCGTCGGCCATTTGGGTATGTTTCATGTAGTGTCTTAGGCAGTTCAACGACCTAAGTACCTACCTAGTTCAATAAAAACGGCCGTGGAACAGCAATGCTAGAACTTGATCATAACGGACAAGAGTAAACAGGAGGAGGAAAAAAACAACCAAAAAGAGGAAAACATGTAAAGAAATACAAAAAAGTAAAACAAACAGTTTAAATACCATATACCAACCCACACACGCACAGGCGACGCGGAATAGCCACGACATCACGTGATCTACATTGGTTCCGACACCTGCGCCAAAGTCGATACAAGCTTGCGATCTCACCAGTCATCCAGCCCCAAACCAGTCACAATGCAGCCCACAAGATTACTTCTGAAGCGCTCCGTATGGAAGGGTAAGAATCGCCATCCTCAATTGCTCCTACTCAAGCGATACTAACCAGACCATTTCTCCAGGGCCCAATCTCGTCCCGTAAGATCCTCCAGCACCCCGAAAAAAACCCCAAATCTGCCAATTCCTAACCCGCAATCGATTACAGCCTGCCCATTGTGTGGCCGAAAAAGGCCGGCGACAAGGTCCCCCCCGTGCGCACTCAGGCACGCTCCGCGACGATTTTGCCCAACTTTGTCGGGCTCAAGTTTGAGATTCACAACGGCAAGGACTATCTCCCGCTGCTGATAACGGAAGACATGGTCGGACACAAGCTGGGCGAGTTTGCGCCGTACGTACCTCGGATGGTTTGCACAGGAGAGATGGCTTGGGGGCTAACAGGATTGGTGTAGGACGCGGAAACCGAATATTTACGGCAAGAAGTAAAGACGAACAGTACCGAATGAGGGAGGATTTGCGACAGGAAGCGAGGTCGCGCTGTACAAATACCACATTGTATCAATACGAATACATAATCAGCAACAAACGAAGTTATCTGTCAATCCGTGGAGATCATTATTTATTCGGTGGTTCAAAGTACGGAATCATGTTGTTGCCTCGCTGTAGCGTTCATTCCACGCGGGCAGTGTCCCCCGGCCAAATCCAACGCCAGAACGCCAATCCATACGTAACAATACCAATACCAAAATCCCGCAAGCCCGTAGGCGTCAAAAGAAGAAAGCCCGCCGACATCATCTAAACTCTCGCGCGGTGGCGCCTCTACCGGTAAAACTCACTCCGCTTCACATTCACGCCGTACTCGCCGACCGCCATGCCGAGGTCCTCCATGGTCAGGACCGTCCTGTTCTGGCTGCCGCCCTGGCCGCCGCCACCGTACCCGGGCCGCTGGATGCCCAGCGGCGCGCCCTTGCCCTGGTCCTTGTTGCCCGGCTGCCCGGCCTGCTGCCCGGGAATGGGGAAGCCGGCGGCGGCGCCGAGCGAGCCCATCGGGTTGTTGGCGTTTGTGTTGCTCGACGCCCGGATGCGGCTGTACTGGTACGCGTCGGCCGCGATGTCGGCGATGAACTTTTGCGTCGCGAGCGCGAGGAGCCGCGCCAGTCGCTGGTCCGTCTGCGGTGGCGGGGGGAGGCCGGCCTTGGTCATGTAGTATTGGGTGACGGCGTCGGGGATCTAATGCATCAAGATCAGCTCAAAAACTAGAGAAAAGGAGGAAAAGAAAGAAAGACGGAGTAGTCGTACAATGGGTGCGCAATCGTCCACCTTGTTGAGAAATTCGCGGAGAGAAGTGTCCTTGCGCGAGGGCAGCTTCGAGTCGCCAGCAGGGAGCTGGACTGGGCCGTTGACCTCGCCGTTGGGGGCCGCGGCCGGCTGCTGGCTGCTGTTGGGGGCGTCGCCGGCCATGTTGGGATACTCGATGCACACGTCCTTTTTGCGGATGGAGGTGGGCAAAATGTGCGCCTGCAGATGGTTGAAGTGATGATGGCTTATTTGAACCGGCCGTCCTACGGGCGCGATGCAAGACCCGCACGTGACCGTAAACAGGTGCGCTGTCGGCATAGTGGTAAAATGGCGAATACAAGCACATTTATATCTTTTCTGAAGACCTTTTCCATTATAGATAGTATCTGTAATGTTTGAATCCTGAACTTGGAATTTGTTTTATGTTCCACCCTGCCCCCTGCCGCGTTGCCACCATCTCCCCTCTACAGCCTTGGTGAAATGGCGACAGCAAAACCACGTTGAACATTTTTCTGACTTTTGAATTGTTTTGTATTCGTTATCAGTAAGATTTTTGACTCGTAAAATTGTAATTACTTTTATTGTCCATCCTACCCCTGGTGCTGCGTTGCCACAACCTCCCCTGCACATCATGGCGTGCCCAGAGTCGCCTTGTCCAAGCAAACGAGCTCCCCAAACGCCGTCTAAGTGCAAATAAAGTGTTGTGGATGAAGTGTGACGATTCGATTTTTTTTTCGTCTCGAATATCGTGTGAATGAAGCTGCTTTTTCGCGATCCTGATGATGATGGGTTGATAGGTGCGTCAGTGCACCACCGCGTACGCCCGCCCCAAGACCGCTAGGAGCAAACAGCCTGCTTAAACGGGCAGCTTAAACTTCTTGCCCTTGAGAACCTTGGTGTAGTAGACATAGAAGAAGTCGCTGTAGAGGACGGTCTGGATGAGGCCAGCAATAATGGCAATCCAGTCGGGCTTGTGGTTGGGCTCGGTAAAGTAGCGGTAGATCCAGTTGGGAATGTAGAGGGCGCGGTAGCTACCGAGAGCGAAGAGATAGTGGGTGGTGATGGTCTCCGCCTCGCCGGTGCGTTGCAGCATGAAGAGCTGGGGCAGGATGGCGACAGACTCGAGCCAGATGGAAAAGGCCCAGAGGACCTCCATGACGGTGTAGCGGACGGGGAAGAGGACGGCGAGGACGGCGGCACCGCCCAGGAGGTACTGGACGCGAAAGGTGTCGACATTGGGGTCGTTGGTGGGCTTGTAGGCGTTGGTCATGAGGTAGATGATGTAGCCCTGCGAGCCGATGAAGAGGACCTTGAAGACAAAGTTGTACAGGCTGTTGGTGGCGAAGAGATCTGCGAGTCAAACAGGCCAATGGTTAGTCAATGGGGCGCGAGACAGCAAGAGGGGAAACGAACCGAGATATCTCGCCACATAGACCATGAGGTAGAGAGCTTGCGACTTGAAGGAGATGCCGGAGCAGCTCTGATTGAAGAGTGGTTAATGGATGTCATTGTGCGCCGCGAGGGAGCTAGGAACAGAGCGAATACGCACATTTAACTGCACCATTTTGTGCAGCAGGACGAAGATGCTGGCCAAGTGCGAAAAGTCCGCTGAAGTATCGTGTTAGCATGGTCGAGGGGGCAGTGTTTTGAAGCTGTCGCCGGGGGGGATTGGCGCACCAGCAACGCGAAAGAGGTTGAGCGGCATTGTGAAGGCTTGGAAGCTTGCGCTCCTCGTCAGAAAGAAATAACTAAAATCGAGAGATTCCAGAGGAACCGAATAGGAATTAGATTTCGCGCGGGAGGTTCGAAGTGAGCGGCGACTCGGAGACGTTTGGGGGATGGTGGTTGCGCGAGGATGAAAGGGAGTCGAGAAACCAAAAAGGACACGACACGCGCTGGCGCCCTCATTGGTAGATTTTGGTTTGCCCCAGTCTGTGAGCGATGAACAGCGTCATTCTGGCGGGCCGCGACGACGGGCGTGGGCTGGTTTCAGCGTGCTATTCAGTGACTTTACAGTGGATTACAGAGCTTGCCAAATCGGGCTAGCGTGATTGCGGCTGCTGGTCAGGGGTGGGTTGATGCTACTGCAGGGGTTGATCAGGTCCAAGCTCAAGTGGCAGGTTGATGAAGTCGTGGACGAGGTTTGGGGAGCACTTTACGAGGTGGAATATCTCACGAAACCAAAAGAAAGAACTCCGCAAGAGGAATAAATCTATAGTCGATTAAATTCTATAATGTCTGGTCAAGGTTGGGATCATCAAGCACCACCAGTTGGGAAAACTACTTGCGCGAGAGCTATATATATCTTTTGGGGGAAAAGAATATAAACAAATTAAAGCAATTAGCCAACTATTTGATTTCACTAGTACTAGGTACCTATATAGCATGAAAGGAACAGTTCAAGCTGGATGCTGGTAAAGAGACATCATCTTTTTTCCACGACACCCGCAATTGTCGGCTGCCGCAGTGCGCACCCACTGTATTTACAGCACTTGTTGGACGTACTTCTCCCTCACCATTATGAACAGGCTGAAGAAATTGCTGCGAACGCGCTGCCCAAGCTGAGGAGCTCATCGCAACCACCTCGTTAGGCCTAATCAACTCGTCGGCGTTGGTTCTCTTTCCGTTGAACATGATTCTTGGCAGCTGAGCGTCCAAGCCAAAGGCCTTTATCGACTCGGAGGTCTTGACACGAACTGAACGTTACGGTTTTGCGATTATACGAACCAGATTGTGGGACACCATGGAAAACCAAAATGGTAAAGCACGCACCGAAGAGTGTTGCCTAGGTCTCCCGACATTGCTCTCCCGACATTGCTTCCCAACATTGCTCTGCCGACATTGCACTCCCGCGTCTTTGCGCCTTGCAGCGGACAACATAATGCAAGATGCCCTCATGCCCGACGACGATGTCTTCAAACGCATGTTTGTGGCTGGATACAAAACTTGGTTTGAGCTTTATGACTGCGCCATCGCCAAACCATCCGGATTCCCTCACACGAGCATAGCGAAAGCCTTTCCAAATCACCCATACCTACCTTTGCAGCTAGAAGTGGACAAAGGGTCAACAAACAACTTTACAAGTCACTGGGCGAACGTACTGGGAGACATCTGACGGCAAATGTGACATGCCGCCTTTCACCATCAAGCCGAGATTGCCGGTCGCATTTCTCTGCACCACGCGCGTCATCTTTGAAGATGGCTCGTGCCTGTGCAGTTCTAGGCGCCGACGCCGACGCCGACGCAAGAGCCTGCCATCCTAGCACGTATGCTGATGCGAAGATCACCACACTTAGATTTTCTCAGGCTGGGAGCTATACTGGTAGAATTACCACACAATATCATGAAACGCGCACGTCCGGCTATGTACCACATGGATCTACACGCCGCTGCTTGGACTAACACGTTCATCTCGTCTGTCCAGCGGCCTGTCTCTACCGAGTCTTGTACTGGCGAGATTACTCGCGCTGACGAGGCGCGGCTTATGTTTCTTGCACAAAACGAATTCCATCAGATGCCGCCTCTGATACCGTTCACACCGTTTGGTTCAATAGCGCTCCTGGACTGTACCCTGGACGTGCGGTTGCACGCGTCCTGTGCCGGCCATCGTGGTCTACGATATGCAGATACCTCCTCGGACTGCAATGACGACACGATAATATTTCAGAAAGGCTCTACGTCTTCATGGATAGGCACCGAGACATGATTCGATATGGACGGCGACGACGACAACGACGCCGCAATTCCGCATGAGGAGCTGGACCGTGATGCGGACCTCTCGTCGACTATGACGCAAAACTATGTGGATGTAGGAGATGGATGGCTACCCAGTCGCCGAGCGAGCGATTCGTGAGCATTCGTGGATCGATGCATTCTCCGACTCCGATGAAAGCATAAGTATGGAGGAGGAAGTTCGCTCGACGGCGAGCATAAACATTGGAGCCTGGATATCAAAGGTGGCTACCGCACGGAGCTCCAGTGATTCGACACAGAATATAACAAGGCAACATTCGGCAGAATATATACTCCTGTGCACGAAGACTAGAGAAAAAGGAACACTATACTCGCCCTGAACTCTCCCACCTGACAATTGTCTTATCGCTTGTGCAACCGTCCAGTGGTTAAATGATCTGCGTCGGTGGTTTGTCGTGTAATCCGGAGGGGCAGGAATGTGGCAGGTTATCTATGTGATCTTTAGCTATTAACTTGGGAGACGAATAGTGATATTGTAATAACTCGCTCGCGTCTATGCATTATTTTGTTTTCAGATCCGCCAAGTCTTGTCTATAATAACAAGGTGATGCATCTTCTAGGCAGGTATCTATCTAACTAACATACCGCTTGTACTCCGTAGGTACCCACTCATTGCGTTGTATTCTATATTACCTAGGTACGGAGTAAGGATGCTTTGTCCTCTTAACGGTATATTTGGCAATAATATACCTCAGGTATCCCTACCTACGCAATAAGTTGTCAGGCACCAGTCAACAAGGGCTGGTGGCCCTGTGACTGGCCAACTGTAAGACCCACCACAGCTTCGAGGGGTTGGCGCGCGTCGCCATCAACTGAACCATCTTTCCTCGCCATATTTAAATCTCACCCCTACATGCTAACGGGATGATATCACTACGGATCCTATCGCAGCCTTGCCGAATTCGTACACGCTTTTGCTGGTCTGGAAACAATGCCCGTATCGGCGGCGCCTTGTCACTTTGCAAAGGGCTCTCGTCCAGCGCCAGGGCTGCCATAGCCTCACAAGAGCCACCGCACGAGTACCGCCCAAAGTATCGGTGGATTGATGGGACGGAAGATCTCGAAAGATACACCGTCGGCGGCTATCATCCGGTGATGATAGGAGATGTTTTCAACGAGCGCTATCAAATCGTTGACAAGCTTGGGTGGGGGGGTTACTCTACCGTCTGGATTACACGGGACCTGCAACGTGATACTTATGTTGCTCTTAAAATCGGCGTGGCTGAATCGAGGGGGGAGGAGACCAGCGTTTTGAAGATTCTTTCAAACCCTCAATCCGATATGCTGCTGGATCCTGTCACCTCGTCCGGATGGAATGCCATTCCTCGACTGTTGGACGAATTTACCATACACGGCCCTAACGGAGAGCACCGCAGCTACACGACTGCTCTGGCGGAAGCTAATCTGATGTCCGTCTTGGCAGGGTCCATGTTTAGGCTTGAGGTAGCCAGAGCTTTGTCAGTTAAGCTTGTGTCGGCTATCGCCTACATGCATGGGCGAGGCTATATCCATGGAGGTACGATCCCTGCAGTCGCTTGCTATGCATTTATTGGGTAGGCCGCTAATGCTTTGTTTCCATCTACTAGATATACATCTCGGTAATGTGATGCTTCGGCTTACATCCCACCTAGACCAGCTGTCTGTCGCGCAATTCTATGAGAAATACAAGGAGCCCGAGACCGATTTGGTTTCTCGCTTTGACGGCGGTCCATTGCCACCCAATGTCCCTAAGAAAGTTGTGCACCCACTCTACCTTGGTAAGACTGCCGTCAAAGTATCTCTCGAGGAGACGAACCTGCTTCTCGTCGACTTTGGTGAGGCATTTGCGCCTAAGTCAATCACGCGGCCTTGCGAAGACTGTCGATCACATGTGGATGCCCGCCCCCCAGAAACATATTTCGAGCCATCATTGCCGCTGTCTTTCTCGGCTGATATCTGGTGTCTTGGTCTTACTATCTGGAATATCTTCAGTATCAGGCCCCTATTCGGTACCATTTTCTACGATTTCTCCGCGATAATTCCCCAGCACGTGGAAGTTTTAGGGCCATTGCCAGACCGCTGGTGGTCGCGCTGGGATGAGCGGTCTAAATACTTCGATGACAAGGGAAACTCAATTCAAGGAAAAACGGGGTTTGCGCCACTTGACGAGACGTTCGATGAAACGGTGCAAAAATATCGAAAAGAGCAAGAGTTGGATTTATTCTCAGACGAGGAAAAGACAGCGTTTGTGCATCTTGTGCGTCGCCTGCTTTCACAAGATCCGCAACTACGTCCTAGCGCCGCTGAGGTACTCAAGTCTGACTGGGTTGTAAACTATGCCATGAAAGATTTTGAGAGGTGCCACGGGGGAGTAAAGGCATGATGATGTAAGGGTAGTGAGACACAACTTGTCGAGTACGTGGACAGCCCAATTGCTCACTCGCTCATTCCGCAGAAGGAAGAGTAGGCTGGTAAATTGCAGATCTTGAGCTAGTACATAGGATCGACGCCCATAGATCTACTTCATGATTGCTGTAGATCTTCCTGAATAATATACTCCCCACTCCATACATAGTAATAAAACGCCGGTGTAGAATAAGTTGCTATTATGTTTATTCACGATTTATTCACCTCTTATTCTCCCTATCCTTCCCAATTTTCGTTTTCATCCTTCTTCTTCCTTCTACTACTATATCTTTTGAATACAGTGTAGACTTCGTTTACGGGTCTAGTTTTTTTTGTCACCCTAATAAACTCATTCCCAAAACTACCTGTAACAAGTGTAACAAGTGGAATTTTAGCGCTGGTGTAGCGGCCCCACTCAAGTGTCTCGTGGTCGGACTTTGACTTTGCCGGGTCCGTGACTGCGCCTCACAAGAGCTGGGCAGCGAATACGACCAAGGCGTGTGGCGCATGCCTAGGTAATCATCCCAAACGTCATTACCCATTACCAAGCAGGAACGAAGCAACCCGAACCCTTCAGATTGGTATCCCCAGGAACTTCCGGATGTGCCCCTTTGACAGGTAGCCAAACGAAATACCTATATTATCCCTTGTCTCTCCAGTTCTACTCTCCGGATTCATCATCGATATACCACAAAATTCAACCGCAAACCAAACTCCACCACAGCACCACCACTGCGGATTTACAGCCTATCTACTCCATACTGCTGCATTTGTAATCCGCATCAGACCACACTCATAGTCTAAGCCTCCATCGCCTGCCTTTATTACTGCGACAAGCGAACATCAGAAACAACTTTCTACGACCAACAGCCTACTCCATCGAGCGCCAACAGTTATGACCGACCCAAAGCGATCACACAGCCCCGACGCCTCAGAGGCCGAGTCCGAGAGCGACTGGATCACGCTCAACATCTCCCACCGGCAGGCGACATGCGACCTGCAGTTCCCCCCCGACGCTACCGTCGTCCAGCTTTTTGAAGAACTCGAGGCGACACTCAACATCCCCGTCGCCAACCAAAAGATCCTCGTGCCCAAGGGCCCGCTGCTCAAGGTGCCCTTGAAGAACCCCGACATGGCCCTCGCCGAGCTCCAGGGCAAGACGCTCAAGCTCCTGGGCTCTGCCTCGTCCGATGTGCAGGCCGTGCAGCGCATGTGCGAGCGGGTCGAGCGGGTCGAGCAGGTCAAGCAGCGCCGCGTCGGGGGCTTTTCACAGCTCTTTGGTGGACAGGGTGTTAAGGTCCGCCCGCACAAGAAGCAACCCCCGCGCGCAGACGAAACCCAATACACGTTCTTGCAAGTCCAGCCGCTGCAGGGCCTGCCGCGGCCGGAGCGGAGCCTGGCACTGCTCATGCGCCTCAAGGCAGACCCCGGCATCAAGGCGACGATGAAGAAGCGCAAGTACACGGTCGCGCTGCTGACCGAGATGGAGCCGCTGGCCAACACCCAGTCGACGCATGAGGGCACGTCGCGCATCCTCGGGCTCAATCGCAACAAGGGCGAGGTGATTGAGCTGCGGCTGCGGACCGACGCGCACGACGGCTACCGCGACTACAAGACGATCCGCAAGACGCTATGCCACGAGCTCGCGCACAACATTCACAGCGACCACGACCGCGCCTTTTGGGACCTCTGCCACACGATTGAGCGCGAGGTCGATGCGGCGGACTGGAAGACGGGCGGCCGCACCATCGGCGAGACGTCACGATACGTCGTCTCTGGGCAGGAAGCGTACGAGGAGGAGGAGGAGGAAGACGGCGGCGGCTGGACGGGCGGCGAGTTTGTCCTCGGCGGGGTCGCGGTGGCGGCGGGTGGTGGCGGCATCACGGCCGGTCTGAGCAGGCGCGAGGTCCTCGCGCAGGCGGCGCTGGAGAGACAGCGCAACGAAACGCAAGAGGAAGCCAAGGCCGTAGAGGCGGCGGAGAAGGGATGGCGGCCATGCCAAAAACAGCAGCCGAGTGACGAATCTCAGGAATGAGCGACGGGATATGTGATTTTGCATTGGGCGGGCTATCAGGTTAGAAGAATACATTGGCATTCAGCGAGCGACGGGATACGACTCCCTTTTTTGTTTTGCATCACTTGTAACAGTTTTAGTAAAAGCGCTTATAGTATCTTCATCATCTTGATAATAAACAAATGATGAGACATGCTTCTTTTATGTTATGACAGATACTGCAGAATCCCGAGATGGATCACTCACCCAAAGCTGATCATCATGCAGCTAGCGAAGGCAACTTGCCAGAAAAAGCCACGCTTTCAACAGCGACTACAAGTAAGGGCAAGTTTTGATATCCCATAGTACGCGGTCTTTTCGTCACTAGACATGTTTTCGTGTGCGTATGTACCTTTCACGGCCATCCAGAAAGATACGAGGCACCCAATGCCAGGCAGCGGAGGGATAATGACGCAAAAAAAAACCTGTAATTTGCTTACTACAATCTGAGCTGGGTTGTTACTGATAGGAGAGACAAGTTACAAGAAACATTGTACAAGAGTGACCGCTCACTTACGCAGACGATGGCCGAAACAAAACAACCGAGTGCTAGCCAATGTAGACCTCAGAAACATGACCGGTCGCCTACCAAAACCACACCTTCCTTTTTTCTTCAACTCAGTACGGCAAGGGATCCAAGTCCAGGCCTGTGACGCTGAGCTTAAAGGCATCGTTGCGCGAGTAGCTCCCCGCGGCGTCCAGGTCCAGCCGACCACGGATACAATCCCGCATGTCCACGTCCTGCCACACGATGCCCTCGCTGTCCTCCCACTGCGGCCCGGCCAGCACGTCGCCGTACGGGGACACAATCGCCGACCCGCCTCGCGAGAGCCACCCGGGCAAGATACCCGCCGCCTTGGGCGCCGCCGCCGCTGCCGCCGCCGTCTCCCCATTCGTCGTCGTCGTCGTCGGCGCGGCAGCAGCAGGTGGCTGCTCCTCCTCCTCGGCGCAGCTCAGCACAATCTCATTCCCATCGCTATCAAACACCGATCTCCGTCTGCGCCGCGAAGCACCGGGGCTCGGCAGCGCAATCTCGTTGCCGTCGGCCGTCATCATGGAGTTGCGACGGCGTGTCGGCGGCGGCGGCGGCGCTTCCTCGTGCACACCATTCACGTTGCTGCCGCCTTCGCGGATGCACATGTTGCTGCTGACGACGAAGCAGCGCCCCTCGACCGCGACGGTGCGCATCAGCGCCATCCACTGGTCCCGGTTGTCGGCCGTCGGCGCCAGGTAGAGGTTGACGTTTTGCGCGTACAGCGCCTGCCGCAGCAGCGGCATGTAGTTTTCCCAGCAGATGGCGGCGGCCAGGTTGACGCGCACGCCGCGGAGCGTCGTGGACACGGCGCGGAGTGTGCTCGGGCTGCCCTGGCCCCAGCAGAGGCGTTCTGTGCCAGTCTGTGAAGTTGGTCAGCTAGCTGTATCCCTTTTTTTCTTTCGCTGGAGTGGGCCAAAAAAAAAAAATCAAACAACACCCCTACTTACAGGCAACACTTTGCGGCGCTTCCCCAGCATGCCCTCGCGCGGACAGACGTACACGACGGCGCAGTACAGCGTGCCGCCGGCCCTCTCGATGAGGCCGACGACGAGGAAGACGCCGGCGTCGGCGGCAATGGCCTCGAGCGCCTCGCGCGTGCCGTCGCCCTTCCACTCCTCGCCGAGCTGCCGCTTGACCCAGCGGTCGCCGGCGCCGGCGCCGGCGTCGCCCGTGACGTCGCCGAGGTCGACGGCCTCGTCAAAGTAGCGCGCGTACTCGTCGCGGCCCGCCGCCGTCCGGTCCCCGATCACGCACCCGAAATGCGTGCCCCGCGGGTACCCCCCAATGTACGCCTCGGGCAGCAGCAGCAGGTCGACGCGCTGCGCCGCCGCGCGCTGCGCCAGCGAGGCCAGCTGCCGCAGAGTCGCGGCGCGCGTGGCCTGCGTGCCGGGCGAGGCGGTGCCGAGCCGGATGGTGCTGCTGGCCATGGTCGTTGGTTTTGGTTTCTGTCCCTTTTCTGGTTGGCTGTGTTTTTTTTGCCAAGTTGCGGTAGGAACGAAGCTTGGTGGTGGCAACGTTGATGGACTGCGGCGTTGAAAATGGGAAAGAGAGGTTTGGAGGTGTTGGTGTCGAAAAATGCAAAGCGGCACCCTCCATGTAATGAGGGGTCAAATCTGTCTTTTTCTTCGTTCGACTACGGCCTGCAGCTGGGTGGCCTGTTAGTCGCGGGGTTCTCGTTGTGGCTGCTGCGCAAGGTTTATATTGGGGCGATTTGCCATTCCCGGCTTGGCTGCTCGGCAGTTCGCTCACGACAGTTCGGCCATTGTGTGCGCTTGCCTGGTCAATTCGCCTCTTCCAATTATTTATCCACTCCTAGCTATAAAAATGGTCAGACAATTTTTACTATTCCTTTGTCTCTCTCGGGACTCGACAATATTGATAGCCATCGTGCGACTCCGCCGACCCTCTATCCGGTGGCCGTTCTAGGCCCGGCCCCACTCGTCCGGGGAACCCAGGTTGCTCATCGTGAGTCGAAGTGGGGGATTCGTTGATGTTTTATCAGTTCGCTTGCCAATCCCGTTAGACTATATGCACATAGAAATCTTGCATTATGCCAAGCTACTACACGATTTGAATACTCCATTTGACTCATAATGATTTTCAGCGACTCAGTATGACCGCAAGGAAAACCACGTAGGAGGAACATCGAATGGGGACGCTAAAAATTAGGACTTCGAAAATTAGGATTTCTTTCGGTGCCTGTATAATAATAAATAACGCTCCGCATTGCAACTAGTGATCTCGCTACGACAGGCGTCAACGCCTGTACATCTTCCGTAGTATAGTGGTCAGTATGCAAGCTTGTCACGCTTGAGACCCGGGTTCAATTCCCGGCGGGAGAGATCCGCCACACTTCCTAGAAGTGCAACCCTTTCTTTTTTTTTTTTTTTCTTATGTTGCCAATTCTCTCTCAACCGCCGTACTCTTCTTTTGTTTTTGTCACATGTCTAATTAGCAGTTGGTTATCTGATAGCTCATATATTATATTCGTTGTATACCAGATCTAGCCATCTCCAGCTATCGCCTTCTTGACCTTGTCGCTGTTGCGGGCGGAGGCTCAAATGCATCGTCCTCAGAAATTTCATCGTCGCTAATCTCAACGCCCTTGGTCTGCGTCCCCGACTTCTGCGAGAAATCCAGCGTAGTCTGCGTTGCCTGTCGGGCTCTCGTGGCTCTCGGCGCAGCGGTCGTCTTTGGGGCTGCGGCAGGCTTCTTAGCTGCCGCGGCCTTTTTTGCCGGTGCCACGCGCGTGGCTCGCTTTGGCGGCGGCGCGGGCTCCGGCTCCTCGTCTGACTCCACCAACACGTCTTCCTCCTCCTCGTCTAACTCCATCAACACATCTTCCTCTTCCTCGTCCGACCCCACAAACGGCAGCTTGCGGGCGCGGCCCCGCGCCGTCGTGGCCTTTTTGGCCGGCGCCTTCTTCGCGGGGGCCTTTTTGGCCGGTGCTTTCTTCGCTGGGGCCTTTTTGGTGGCCGCTGCGCGTCGCGTTGTTTTTGGGGGCGGCGCTTCCTCCTCGTCAAGCAGTGATTCGGTGACCCGAGAGGCCGCCGAGCCGGCGACTAAGCTGCCATCGCCAACAGCCTCGTATGTCCAGGCGTCAGGGGCGTCTTCCCACTCGCCGTCGAAATCAGTGTCCCACGTCGCCGGTTTCGGTCGGAGCACGCGACGGCGCTGTCCGGGGGCCGCCTTGAGACCACTCTCCAGTTGTTTCTCAACCCTCGTCCTGTAAATCTCCATGGCGCTGTTCAGATCCTCGTCGTCAGACTCGAGCCCAAGCATCTGCTTCACCTGGCCCGTAAGATGCTCAGAAACAAACAGCTCCATGGCGTGCTTGTCATCTTTTGCGACGAATTGGTTCACAGCCTCGCTAAAGGGGCCTTGCGGAAGAACCTTGAGTGACTGTGCAGAAAGAAAATCTTGGACCAGCGAGTCGACCTTGACTATGTCGCTGCCGTCTTCCAGGCTCTCCAGCATTTCCACGGGAGCTTCGGCCGTGGCCTTTCGCTGAACCGTCTTCTTGCGGTAAAAGTATACCACGTCGTTGGTATTCGCCACCTTGCCGACAAACCTGTTGGACAATCTCTGTGGGTTTTCGCATTCAAAGACACCTCCTTCGGGCGCTGTATATTCGACCTTGAGACGGATCAACGGCAGTGGAGGCTCTTCCAAAGCTTCCTGATCTGTTTGGATAGCTTCCCACTCTGCGTTTGCCTGTTCAATCATCTCTTCCACGACCTCCATCAGTCTACGCGTGACCTCTTGCCGGTTGTCCTTTTTTTTGTCCAAGCCCTTGAAGCGCTTATCCTGATTTAGAATAATTTCTCTCGTGACAAACGGGCGAACTGTTTTCAATGGAATTTTGTCCATTTTGAACTCCTTTCCAGTGATGCTCACGATAGCCACGTGCTTCTGAACCGCTTCGCCTGGTACTAGTGATGTTGCGACCGAGGAGCCAGGCTGCATGACGTGGAATCCGGTTTCTGCGTTCTGCGTAGGGTCAATTAAACATTCGTGCTCATGGCCCCATACAATCAGATTCATCCAGTCGGGCAGCACATTTTCTGGAAGATATGAAGTGGCCGTGTGTGCGTGGTGATTTTGGTGCACGGCCAGCAGATTGAACCAGTCTCCAGTCTCAGCAGCGGGCTTGAACCATTTGACCTTGTGATCCCGGAATGTTCGAAACATTCGCTCGTCGCGGACATTGCTCAGCCCAAAGAGTGCCAGTTTCGTCTCGCCTTTTTGCAGGAGGATCGGCCGTGCCTCGATGTTGTCGGCCTCTGCCACTCGACCGTAGTAGTTGAGCAGCCCGCAGGCTTGCAGGAGATCGAGCGAGCAGAGGTTACCGTCGCCGGAGGGGTCGTCGTGATTGCCATGGATGGAAAAGACTGGAATAGAAATGTTGATATCGGGGTCTTCATAGTTGACGTGGGGGAATGCGCCTTCGAAGACGGTCGCGGCGTCGGAGAGGAATTCGAGCGGGCACGGCTTCAGGCCAAGACAGTTTTGCCGGAGTGTTCGCATGACCTGGTACAATGACTTTCGTGAGGGCTTGTTATCGTGAAACAGATCGCCAGCTAAAAGGACCATGTCAACCTGCGACAAATTAGCAAACGTTGCGGGTATGGGAGGAACGGCGCCTCGTACATCTTCGGTGCGTGCTAGGGTCAGAATCTCGTCAAAGGTCCGCCAACTGTCATCTTTGCGAATGGCATCTCGCTCCTCGAACCCGACATGGTTATCTGTCGCCACCAGGATACGAATCGTATCCGTCTCTACTGCGGGTTAATGCCAGTGGTAACGAGTATTTGACCATTCACGACTCACCAGTCGCGGGCATTTTGCTCTACAATGCCGCAATAAACCTGAGATATAGTGAAACCAGAATGTGATTTTTTTTTGCCCCAGGCACTGCACAGCTAGTGCAGCTGAATGTCAATTCGCCTGGATGCAATGCGATGGCAAACGAGCTGGTAAGTTGAGTGGAGTGGACGCGTGAGTTTAACGGTCGCCGTGACGCGAAAAGGTACGAAATCACGTGGGTTTTAATTGAGAGGCTACAGTACATCTACATTATAACGAACCGCGGATTTTACATCTCGGTGAAAAAAATAAAAGGTGGTACGGTCATAATCGAGAATCTATAATAATATTGTATGAATGTGCGCCGAGTCAACCATAGATGACCATGTCTACCAAACTCCAGAAATGTAGCGTCAAAGCTGCGATGCAGTCTGTGGAACCCCCAGTGCTAAAGGGACAAGGGGACGAAAATGAAAGAATCAATATTTACAGGAGGACCGAGCATGTCCTAGATGAGAATGCCGCGCTGCTTCCATCCACCAGGCCCCAGCCAAGCCCAGAGCAGCAGGGCGGAGGCAATCCAGACGGTCACGGCCTCGCCCCAAAACGTGGCAGAATAGCAGCTCTTTCCGTAGCAGAAAAGCTCATCACCAACACTGTCGTCCGGCCCGGACGGTCGGCTGGGTTGGCTTGCGCCCGTTTGGTAGCCGGCGGCGTAGACAAGGCCCCAAAAGGTCGAACCGAGCGCAGGGAGCGTCGTGACAATGCCAAAGTTGGTGGCAAAGTTCTCAACGCCCCAGATGATGGTGACGATGAGCGGCGCAAGACTGAAAATGGCGCCGTAGCCGGCGCCGACAAGACCGGAGACGACCCAGAAGCGGTCGGGGTGGTTCTGCGCAGCGCCCGAGGCGAGGAACGCTAGGCCCAGAGACATGGTCATGGCGGCGAAGAGTAAGAATGCAACGCGGGAAATGGTAAATTGCTGAAGCCTCGAGGTGCGGTGGATGGGAAGCTGCGCATGTTGCGTCTGCGGTGCGGGAGCGACTAGGTCGGTAATGGTACCGATCAACATGCGACCCAAGGTGCTTGTAAGGCCAAATATTGAAACGTGGGTAGCCGCCGATGTATCGCTACCGAAGCCATCCGTACGTGGGGGTGATAGGGTTCCAATAATAGTACCGAGATTGTTTATAAATGCTTCACCAGGTCCAACCATGAACAGGAAAGCAAGCGCAAAGGGCCACATGGTGTGATCTGCCAAGAACCTCCTCGTCTCGGCGTTGAGAACCCAGTTCTTCTTCCACTGAGCGTCGTCTTCGTCTCGAAACGAAGCAGCAAGCAGCGGCGCGCTCTCGATGGAAGCCGGCGTTGCAGGCATGTTCGTTCCATATCCCCTCTCCGCACGTCGGAGCAGCGAGCGGTCGTCCAAAAGACCGCTTTGCTCCAACTCTTCGATGGCGCCCTCGATCAAATCTTCCTCGTCCACCACCTTCAAGGTGAAGAAGCCCAGAACGCCGACAGCAAGCAGGAGCAAAGCCAGGAAGAGGAAGAAGCGGAACACGTCCACATCACCCTTGGTGCCATCCGGCAGGACCGTGTACAACCAATGGCTGGCGCATTGGCTGATCCACATGCCGCTGATGCCGAATGCCGTGATGGGCAGGGCGAGGGCGAGACCTCTGTACTTGCCCTTGCCGAAATTCTTGGCGCACGTCGAGACGGCCGAAATGTACATGGCGCAGGTGGCGGCGCCGATGCAGACAAAGGCAAACACCATGAGTGGGTATCCCCACTCGTTGCGGCCGTCGGGTACCTTGCCGCCGACGCTGTTGTACTCGAGGTCGAGCTTGCGGTAGATGGTGGCGGCGATGCCGTAGCCGGTGGCGAAGAGCAGGGCGGCGAGCAGGGACAGCGGCGCGGGCCCGGCGCGGTCGCAGACGTAGCCCATGACAGAGATGGGCAGGTAGAGGGCGACGGAGCTGCCGATGGCGACGCCGTTGACCTGGAACTGGGTGTAGCGCAGGTGGGACTGGAACTTGGGCGCGTAGAGCGAGAAGACGGCGTTGGAGCCGGCGCAGAGCGACATGAGGGTGGCGACGACGAGGGCGACGGCGCGGACCGACTTTTTGTGGCGGATCAGGCGTCGGCGCTCCGACGTGTCGGACAGCGAGAAGCCGTCGTCGCTGACGGTGTACGTCGACACATCGTCATGGTCATCGTCGCGGTCGGGGGCGGCATCGTCGGCGCTGCTGCGTTGGCGGGCGGCCACCGGCCGGTCATCGGACGGCGCCATGATCAGCCTCCGCAGAGGACAGGGGAGATGACAAAAAAGGACAATGGAAAGAGAAAACAGATGCCTGGTTGACTGCAAGTTGGGAGGCTGAAGGGAAGACAAAGAGAAAAGAGGAGAGAGGAGGAGGCGGTCGGCAAGATGGACATCTCCGAGACAAGTTTTGAGTGACCCTACCTGCCTAGCCAGCTAGTTAGTCACGCTGGCAAACGGTCACAATCACGTAATTTGCTTATCGTGACCTGCCCGATCCGTGGCGGCCAGCGTACCCGTCTTTTGCCGCGGGCGAGGCGCTGCAAGGCCGCTGCGGGGACTGATCAGGGGACTTTTGGTGCTGAAACTGGGGGGCCTTGCGGGGAAGTTGCGCTACTCTAGGTACACTTACTTGGGTACCTACAGGTACTCAGCTATATTCGGCTGCTATACATAGCAAAATATCCTGCTAGTTAGGAACACTAACCTCTTCCTTATTCTTACTATTTTCTTACTATTTATGCTTCTTTCTCCTTTTAATTTTCCTTAATTTTACTATCCCTCTTATTTTATATATCTTACTTATCTTACTTGTACTTATTCTAATTCCCCTCATTCCTATTCCTAATTTGACCTTGAGTGGCTTGCTGACCGGTCTATGAATCTGTCCAAGTATAATTTGTATTTCCATTTATTTACTCTTTCGCCTCTAGCGGCTAGCGGCTAGCTGTATGCTCTTCTTCTCTATTTGCGCTCTGGCTCGCCAAACTTGAGATCCTCATTCCCAACCACCCCGTTGAGCACGTTGCCCGTGCCCTGCAACTCCCCGTTGCCGCCATTGAGCATAATATCCGCAAAGCTGTTGGCCATGGTTTGCACACCGCTCACAAATTTCTTATTGTCAAACGCGCAGTGTCCGGCATTCGGCGTATTATCCACCGTCTGTAGGGCATTAATCTGGCCGACGTCAAGGCGCTGGTCCAGCGCCTCCTGCTCGTACGCCTTGATCGCCGCCGGAATATCCTTCTGCAGCGATCCAAGCTCCTTTTGCGTCGACTGGAAGTGGATGCGCGTGTTGCTGAGTGCTGCCTTCGACTCGTCTGTAAAGTCGACCTGCGGCACCAGCGCGCCGCATGAGAGCAGCACGCCCGCGTTGGGGTAGTTTCCGAGAAAGGCGGGCATGAAGAAGCCGGAGAGGGTGAGCGAGCCGCCGCTGACGCCGGTGAAAAAGACATTGGACTGGTTGAAGGCCACCATTTGCGGCAGCTCCTGCTTGATGAGGTCGTTGACGGCCTGCGAGTGCGCCACGCCGTTGGGCCGTTCCACCCCGTTGCGATTGCCGCTGCCCCATTTCAGGTCCTTGTCTGGCGCGAGTACCGCCACGCCCATAAGGTTTGAGTTGACGCCCTGGTTGGGAAAGTCAAAGAAGGACTGCCCGCCGTCGCCGTGCAGCAGCACGTTCATGCCAATGGAGCCCGCCGTGTTGGGAGCAGCCTGCGCGCCTTCGACGCCTGACGCCAGAGTAAATTGGTCGGCGGGAGCACTGACCTTAAAGCGGATAGGAAGACCACTATAAGAAAGGTTAGCATCATATACATTATCTTGTAGTTATCTTCGACCCTACTTGATTGTGACTGTCTTGTCAAGCGTGGTGGTAGAGCCATCTGCGGCGGTAGAGATACCGCCGGGCTTCTGATTTGCCTTTTGCTGCGCTGTTTGTTGCTGACCATTGTTGCCTCCGCCGCCGCCGTTGTTGCCTCCGC